TCAGGCACAGATTTCCAGCGCTCGACTGCTGGCTGCCACCAGCTTTCCCCCAGCTGTTACGCCACCTTCTCCTCTGTAGGCTGCTCTCTGACCTGTGAGCTGTGAACTTTGGTGCCACTTTACACTTGTCTCTTGATACTGTTTGGCTGTGCTTCTCATTCCTTCATTCTGCAGATGTTTCCTAAGCACCTACTGCATGCCTAGGCACAGGGTCCCTCCCTCAATGAACTGTGTGCTTGTTTAGGGACTGGGGAGAGAACAACAACAAACAACACACAAAAGAGAAACACCAGAAGTTCTAAGTGCTACGCAAGTAATGAAGGTGGTGTGATCCTGTGGGGCAGCTGGGTATCAGGGACGGCTTCACTGAGAGGGTGATGTTCAAGCTGAGATTTGAAGAGCAAGAAGGGTCAGCTGTGTAAAGGTCACTGGAAAGAGCATTCCAGGAAGAGGGCCAGCTAGTGCAAAGGCCTGAGGGTGGGGGTGAGCTGTGCTGCATTTAAGGAACAGAAAGAAAGTAGGTGTGATTGGAGCATAGTGATCAGACAGTGTGGACAGGCCGAGGGTGGTAAAGGAGGGTGGTTAACGGGAGCAGAGAGGGGATCATGCCCTAGTGTCAGAGGGGTCTGCTAGAGGGCTTTAGGTAGGGGAGTGATGGAATCTGATTCACAATTTTAAAAGTTCACACTGGCCATAGCATGTCGAAATGAATTGTTGAGTGATAAATGGAACCAAAAGGATATTACCTAGGTGGGGGGTAGATACTGGGGGGCTTGAACTGTGGTGGTGGTAGTGACCAAGAGAGAAGCCAATGGACTTAGGACCTGGTTGGAGGTAGCATCTCTAAGAGGCTTGTCTGAGTGTTTTCTGGGGATGGTCCTGGTCCACACACCGCTCGTCACCAGTCCTCATTAGATAAGGACAGATCGAGGGGAAGTGTCCAGAGACTGTTGCAGCAAACTGTGAGGGCAGCAATCCACAGCATCTGGACATGTGATAAGCGGACCCGCCTCACTGCATAAGGTGTACACCAGTGTGGGTTTGTCGGATTCCCTCAGGAGTTACACGTGGCCGGAGCTGTGTGAGGCACGGGCTATACATTAGGTATGGGCAGTACGCCCCTGTTCAAGTCCATGTTGGATGGGAAACTTCAAAAGACAAAACTGATTTTTACCACAATTTGAAGAGCACTATAAGACATGCTGACGCTGATGGAGTTAATGTGAGAAAGCAAGGAATCAAGGGTCACAGGCTTGCAAATTTGGATGGAAACTGGCACCATTTAAACTAGGAAACACTGTGAAATCAGCATATCATTTTCAGGGGGAGGAAGGTGGTAATTAGAAGCTCTTTTTTTGCTGTATTGCATCTGAGTGAGACACCTTTCAGACATCCAGCTGGGGATAGCCAGCCAGCAGCTGAGTCATAAGCCTGGAGCTCTAGGTGGAGGGCAGGGTGGCAGTCCAGGAAGTCCTCACCTATCAGTGGTGTTCAGGACCTGGACTGGAGATTACGTGGGCAGCGAATGAAGGAAGAGAAAAGAAAGGGTATCCGAGACTTAGCCCGGGATGTCCTGAAATGCAGAGGCCACTGTAAGGAGAACGACTCAGCAGAAGAGACTAGTAGGGGTCTGCTAGAGGGCTTTAGGTAGGGGAGTGATGGAATCTGATTCACAATTTTAAAAGTTCACACTGGCCATAGCATGTCGAAATGAATTGTTGAGTGATAAATGGAACCAAAAGGATATTACCTAGGTGGGGGGTAGATACTGGGGGGCTTGAACTGTGGTGGTGGTAGCGACCAAGAGAGAAGCCAATGGACTTAGGACCTGGTTGGAGGTAGCATCTCTAAGAGGCTTGTCTGAGTGTTTTCTGGGGATGGTCCTGGTCCACACACCGCTCGTCACCAGTCCTCATTAGATAAGGACAGATCGAGGGGAAGTGTCCAGAGACTGTTGCAGCAAACTGTGAGGGCAGCAATCCACAGCATCTGGACATGTGATAAGCGGACCCGCCTCACTGCATAAGGTGTACACCAGTGTGGGTTTGTCGGATTCCCTCAGGAGTTACACGTGGCCGGAGCTGTGTGAGGCACGGGCTATACATTAGGTATGGGCAGTACGCCCCTGTTCAAGTCCATGTTGGATGGGAAACTTCAAAAGACAAAACTGATTTTTACCACAATTTGAAGAGCACTATAAGACATGCTGACGCTGATGGAGTTAATGTGAGAAAGCAAGGAATCAAGGGTCACAGGCTTGCAAATTTGGATGGAAACTGGCACCATTTAAACTAGGAAACACTGTGAAATCAGCATATCATTTTCAGGGGGAGGAAGGTGGTAATTAGAAGCTCTTTTTTTGCTGTATTGCATCTGAGTGAGACACCTTTCAGACATCCAGCTGGGGATAGCCAGCCAGCAGCTGAGTCATAAGCCTGGAGCTCTAGGTGGAGGGCAGGGTGGCAGTCCAGGAAGTCCTCACCTATCAGTGGTGTTCAGGACCTGGACTGGAGATTACGTGGGCAGCGAATGAAGGAAGAGAAAAGAAAGGGTATCCGAGACTTAGCCCGGGATGTCCTGAAATGCAGAGGCCACTGTAAGGAGAACGACTCAGCAGAAGAGACTAGGAAGAGGCCAACAGTGTGACAGGAAAGCCCCTGGGGAAAGTTGTGTACCCAAAGGCAGCAAAGGATGGGTTGAGAAGGAAACAGTGGTCCAGTGACTGCTGCTGAGATATCCAGCAAGGTATGTACGAAGGAGAGACCAGCGGAACGACCGTACGGTCATTGCAAGAGTAGTTTGAGGGAGAAGGGCTTAAGGGCCCAAGAGAAGGGGCCAAAGGAGCGTATGCAGTGCAAGTAGAAACAGCAGCTGTGCTTGACTCTGTCAAGTTTTGTTGGCAGTGGACGTCAAGGGATGGCCAGGGAGCGGGTGGCCAAGGGGATGTGAAGGTCAGAGGGGTGTTTAAGAGAGGGTCTGGGGGCCTGTCTTCTCCTGGAGTGAGCAGTGCCGAAGGAGTGGGGGCAGATGAGGAGGGAAGCCAGAGCTCTGCTGCTGGGAGATGCCCCTGAGGCAGCCATGGGCCTGAGGCCTGGCAACGGGAGAGCTTGGTTTTTGTGCAAGCAGGGGGAACTCCGAGAGGGGCAGAGGGGAGGCCAGGAGAGCAGTGGGCCAGGCAGGCAGGTAGGTAGCGTGGGCACTGGGAAGCTGAGGGAACTTTTCCATGTTTGTTTCTATTTCTCAATGAGATATTAAGTCATCAGCTGAGAACGAGCATCGGGGTTCAGCGACCTTTAGAATAAGGGACAAGGTGTGGAGTAGTCATTTTGAGCAGTGGACAACAAGCATGCCAGGGAAGCATAGTAGGACCACTGGGCAGTGCTGTAGCCTTTTTGAATTGTGGTCATTCATGATTTAAATGAAAACTGTTGGCAGAACTGAGTCTTCTTCTCCAGGAATGCTCTGCTGTTTGGGTACAGGCATGAATCCGTGGATGTCTGGATTTACCCATCAGAGGAGTTTACATGGAAAGGTGAGAGTGAAAAAGTCCAGGGAGTCTGCAAGGTCATGGTTATAAAAATGGACCATGCTTTCAACTGCAGGAAGTGAGCCCATGAGGACACACAGGGGTGGGCTGCCATCACGGGGTAGAGCTGGAGGACTGCAGGTGGCCAAGAAGTGGGAGCACCTCAGAGGAAGCACGGCGGGGAGATGGAGGGATGGTCACGCAGCACACAGGGGCTGGTAGTTGTGCTGATGGGGTGAAGGGTGTGAGCCTGGGAAGGGGTGGCCGACAAGGGTAAAGGTAATCACTGTGCGTGAGGCAGCCCAGAGTCAGGAAGGCCCCAAGTACTGACGTCCTGAGACTGGAGACAGGGGCAGGTGTGGAGGGAAGCACTGGCAGGTGCTGAAGTCATCAGTGAGCAGGGGCTGACCAGAGCTTACAAAGTGTCAGCAAAAGGGAAGCTTGGCTTTCTGGGGGTGACCTAGGGTGTGAGGCTTCCTGGGATCAGTTCTGATAATCCCTTGGCAGAAGAAGAAAGCCCTGCGGCTGCTGACCTCTCCAGCACTTGGGAGTTTCGAGACCTGTGCTTATGTTTAACCTCGTCAGCCACTGCCTGTGTGTTTATGAAAGCCAGCCTGCCTACTGTCACCTGTGCAGTACAGATAAATCCTCAATGAATTGCCTCATTCACAGGGATCATATATCACAATGAAAAAGCATTTTGCAAACTCTAAAGTACTATAAGGATGTGAGTTAAAATAAAAAATGTGTGTATCTTAGAGCATAATTACTAGCCTCTAAGCCAAAGCAGGCTCAGTTGCTTCCACTCTTGTCCACCGCAACCCTTCATGTGGACCTTGTGTTGTGGAGATGACAGGGGTCAGTAGCCTGTGCAGCAGAAGCTTACACAGCGAGTGGAAGGGTCTGTGGCTGGGCCTTCAAAGTTACCTTCAGCATTACCATCAATGTGTTTAGAGTAATACTTTCACAGTTCTGGGAGCAATTCTCTGATCTCGTGTTCCACCGCCCCCTTCCCCTGTGCCCCTGGCTCCAGCCACACTACCTTCCTGAGATTTCTCCATCGTGTGCAGCCTCAGGGCCCCCAGTGTCCTTCGCCCAGCAGTGTGGGACTCCGTCCAGATGGCACTAGTCCAAGAGGGTCGCCTGCCCTCTACCTCTTGCCCGCCTTTATTGTTCTGCATCACACTTAGTACAGACAGAGATCTAATTTACCTGCTCATTTGTTCTAGAAGGCAAGCCCCATGAAGGCAGGACTTTGACTTGGTTAATGCCTCTCCACAGTTCTTAGGAGGGCACTGCGTTCAAGAAGTATTTGTTGAATGTTGTAGTATGTTCAAGGTAGAGACATTGTGTCTTATTTTAACCCGTTTTTTAAATCCCAGGGTTAGCATGTGGTTTGTGTAGTTAATGTTTCAAAAACACATTTCTTTCAGGTGGTCTCCATGTAACTATTCTCGTCCTTCCTGTCTGGCAGGTCAGCCATGCAGAAGTTGGGGCCAGAAGTATTTGAGGAGGTCTATAATTACCTCAAGCAGGCAAGGTGACAGAATGCCAGTGAAGCAGAGGTCCGGGCATCCCTAGAAAAAGTGGTACCTCATGCCAGAGACTGTTTTGAGGTTGACCAGTTCCTCTACTTTGAGGAACAGTTGCTGATCACAGTGGGAGAAAAGCCCACACTCCAGAGCCATCACAACCAACCATCAAAAGCAAGCAAGTTCAAAGGAACAAATCTCTGTGAAAATCCATTCAACACGTAAGCTGGAATCCCACACATGGGAATGGGCACACAGCTGCGCCTAACACCTTCACTTCCATGCTGTATCAAAAGGAACGTCCTTTCAGAGTCATGCTGGGCCAGCCAGTGTCATGTGCTCTTTGCTCTGTGATAAGCCGGCCTCCTGAGAATCATCCCTGCACCAGTGCCCTCGGACTTTCACCCCGACAGTGGCCCGAACATGCCACCCGCCCTTCACCACCTCCCCTGGGAGGACACACTCAGTGCCAGCCTTGGGTCTCCATGCTGCATGGCCAGCCTCTCCTCAGAGTCACTGGATGCTGGACATTGGCCTCTGACACGCCAACTGCTGCCCAGGAGTCACACCTGCCAGCTCAGATGAGCTGGTTCTGGCCCACTTTTGCCTCCCTGGCTAGCAAGCAAGAAGTGCACACACACAAGGACCTGGACCCAAAGTCCCAGCAGTGATTCTGTGACTTAGTCTCTGTAAGTCTGGGGAAAGGAAATCCCCAGGCAAAATACCTCTAAAAACTGAAATCAGTCAAAGGGAGCAATTAAGTTTAAAATCTGTTTATTGCTCACAAACTGCAGTTCTGGGCCACCTCTCTTTCCTGTTCCAGCAGAAGCAAAACTGGCCTCACCTCTCCGGTACAGATAAGCCCTCTGTGCCCAGGTAATTACCCACTGATATGGAGGTGAACTTCTCTCCCCACCTGAGGAATGATGCAAATGCCCTCAAGCCATACTTCTTTCCACCTCTGAATGCCTATTGATATGCTGATGTGCCAAAGCAAGTGAGATATCCTGGAAATGTTATAATTTTACCCACAGTGTCCACACTCACCCATGGGGTTTTAAAGACTTGTATTCTTAATAAATAAATTTTCCATGGTTATAGAGTAAGTCCCCTTTTTATCTGTTTCTTATCCATAAGTGTGTCAGGTGTAACACATCCATGTTGTATCAGGAGGGCTGTTGGTGCTTGTTATGTATCAGTACCATGCTCTGTGCTCACGACTTGAGGCCTTACTTCTTTGGGTCTTGCCACCCATGAGAGAGAGATGATCCCCATCTTTCAGGGAACCTGTCTGGAGGCGGCCTGCCCACAGCTGAGCTAAGCTTCTCCCCAGGTCTGTGTGGTGCCAGACCCACTCTATAACCACCATGCATGTGGGTTTCCGACTGAGCAGCTCCACCAAACTTGCTTGAGGAGTTACACACACATGCGCATCTAAACATATTGTTAAACAAAGATTATTCTGAAATTTTAAAAAATAAAGAAGATTTTATTCAGGACTTTTGCAATAGGGGAGAGAGAGATGGGGCTCAACTCCACACACAGCAAAGGAAGCTGAGATTTACAGCGTGTGAGGAAGGTGAGGGTGCGGCATGGTGGGGATGAGAGGATAGAGTTCCTGGGAGAAGGCGCCTCAGGCAGGGGAGCTTGACAGACTCTTGCTGAAGGCAGGCCAGCATGGTCCCACATCGGGGATGGGGATTCTCGCTAAACTGACTTACCAGGATTCTTGCTAAACTGGACTCGGCAAGCTGAAGACCAGGAGCAAGGGAGTGCTTGGGGGATTCTGTCCAATGTTTGCTCAAGAAGAGGATCTCTGTCCATACCCACCACCCCACGCCCTTCTTTGGGGAGGGAAGGGGCCAACGCGTATCTTCTGTGACGGAACTACCCGGGCGGGGCGGGCGTGTGGAGGCGATCTTCCTCCCAGTTGTGCCCCCACCGGTGACCGAGGAGCCGGGGATGGGGAGGCCGACGGCCCTACTGTCCTGTCACTGACGGTGTCCGTCAGAATGATGCACTGTCTCTTAGACGGGAGTTTCTTAAATGTGAGCTTCGGAATTACCTAGAGGGCTGGATTGCAATGGCCCATTCCCCGGGCATTTCTGATTTCTGACAAGTTTCCAGGTGACAATGATGCTCCTGGTGTGAGGGCCACACTCAGACCGTTGGTCGGGGCCCTTCTTTCTGTTGCCTCTCCATTTGGAGCAGTTTTGTCTTAATTTGTCTCTGAAGGTGGTATGAGGACTGGGAACAGGGCACCAAGGCTTCAGATGCCTCATAGCAAATACTCTGAAGAGGAAGTGATGGGGAGGAAAAAAGGCGAAGTATGGCTGGCTTGACTTGAGAACTTGAAAGGGTCCTCAGGGACAAGGCAGCGCAGCTACTGTGCCCTGCGTCTCACTCCTACCTCTCCGAGCAACCACACGGAGGAGTCACGGGGGGTCGAGGTGAACTCACAGCCTCTGCAGTGCTCCAGGGCTTGTGCAGTCATTGTTCCGTGCTCCCCCAGCTCCTCCAGCTGTGCAGGGCTGCTGGGCCACCATGCCTCTTCACTCTGCCGCCTCCCAAATCCTGCTGGCTTCCCTGTGCCAGCTCCCACCTCCCCGCATGCTGGGGAATTGCTCCCTGGCTCCTGGAGGTGGGATCTGGGCCTGCAGAACGCCGGATTTGAGCATGTGGCTCATGTCAAAATCTGGAATCTGTTCCCCAGTTAGGATACCGACAATGCATTTGCCCTTGGGAACCCCGGATGGAGGCGCCGTGTGGCCACTTTGCTGTCAGGAGCAGGCGTGTGCATTCGCGTCATGTTGCTAGGAAACGACCTCACCCCTGGGAGGCGCTCTCCGTAGCTCTCTGTCCTGTGAACAGCCAGCTTCCAAATGGGTCTGGAGGAGGGGGTAATAGCAGCACCCAAGTTAATGAAGTTTCCAAATCTCCTTGCTGATGGTTTTCATAACATTAGAACAGAATACTTATGTGAGTAGCTGGGTCAGAAGAGGAAATAGCTAGATTTTCAAGTAATTTCTAGTGTATTTTCCAAACAAACATATCCAGGAAACAATACCCTGGATTTAAGAACATACTGTAGAGGAGTAAAGACTTCTACCTGCTTAGGTTCTGTAGGTGGGGTTTGCAAACTGAATCGACAAAGATGAACAGGAGAAAAAGCATACAAATTTCATTTTACATTAATATTTGTACATGGCATGGGGGGCTCTCTAAAAAGAAGTGGAAACCCCAAAGAAGTGATCAGACCTGAGAGCTTATACACCATTTTGACAAAAGAAGGATAAATTTGTGGGAAAGTGACCAGAACAAGGAAAAGGCACCTGAGCTCCTGAGGGAGGCTGACCGTAAGCTCCGGGGGTGGGGTGGGGTGGGGGCAAGCTCCGGAGGGGACGGGGCGTGAGACCAGGACTCGGAAATACGGGGAAATGAGTGGAAGGAAAGTGTTAAGTCAACAGGGTCAGCAGAGTGGGTTGCAAACCACCGCCAGGGATACGAATATTCTCTCCTTTCCTTAGGCAAAATTAGTCTTTTAGGTTGAAAGGGGGAGGGCAGAGAGCTCTTTCTTCACCCACTGTTTCTCAACTGCTCTCCATAAGCCTCCTGCCAAAGTGGTATGCTGGGCCCCTGCGAGGTCTAGGAGAACACGTACAGACCAAAAACATTTCGTTCTGAGATTTGTGCTGCACATCATATGAGACTCAAAAGAAAGGAAAGCTGGGAAGAAGTACCACTTGGATTACAGAACCACATACTATGAGACAAGCCCACTCAGGTCCACCTTTCATTTGGTTCTTCGGGAGTGGGGGTCGGGGTGCAAGATTTACAATGACTAGAAGAAAACACCATTCTACTGTTAACATCAGGAAAATGCTTTCTCCTTCAGCCATACTCAGCTTTGGTTTTATATGACTCCAGTGTGGGTGTTAATTATTAGTCAAACTGCAAGATGGTGGGTAGAAATTGGTGAGGAATTAAAGAGGAAGGGGTTTATTATGAAAGTCACATATGATAGCAGAATAAAGGGATCCGCTAGCTGGCTGCTTTGTGCGCGTGTGTGAGACAAATGCCAGTTGACCTCTCTGCAGTCACGCCAAGGAAATGCCGTCAGCTCTTGTGGAGATGCAGAGATCAGGTACCAAAGGACAGCTGTAGGAGTTAAAATTATTTACTGTTTCTGGGCCATGGCTGGAGCAGAAGTTCCAGGTCTATTATGAGCAAGTCCAGCCATTGCAGCGGGCTCAGGGTAAAGGGGCCTGGCAACTTAAATAACAGCTGGCAGAAGAGCCGCAAGGGCCAGGAGGAGGGCATCAGGTAGAAGGCTGCTGGGCTGCGAGGCCGAGTAGGCCTCCTGTGCGGGCCTCAGAGTTCCTGGCAGGCCGTGTGCATTCACCCCAAAATAGCATGTCAGGCCTTCCCCAGTTGGGGAAGGAAATTAAGAAATTTGGTTCAACAAATACAGTACATTATAAAAGAATATATTCATAAATACTCATCAGGAATACCGGAGTCATTAACATGGATGCAGAATTGAAAGCTTGACTCCAATTGGAATATTTTCAAAGTAGATTTGTAGATTTAGTTTGGGAGATGATCTTTCAGCTGCTAAAAATGTTTTTCTCTCCATAATATTATGGCTTTTCCTTTTTCAGGATAAAGGAGCCTGGGAAATTACACAGTAGTTCAAGGAGGGGAAAAACACCTCACTCCACCTACAAGATGATAGGATCACTAATGTGTCAAAGGGGATGTGGCTCAGCCACCGAGATGATAAATGAAAAATGAGGCAAAGAGAAGATGTGTGTGTGTGTGTGTGTGTGAGAGAGAGAGAGAAGTGGGGGAGGGCAGGGGAGAGGGGAAGGGGTGGGGGATTGAATTTTTCTCTCCTAATCCATCCCTCCCTGGCCCCGAGTGTTCCCTTGTAGCACATGTGGCTTCCTGCTCCTCAACTCTGAGTTTGTCCACAGAACTTGTTTGGCTGAGTGAACACTAAGGAGTGGGGTGTTGGGCATGCAGCCCCCAAGTTCCCCCATGCCTCTGCCCTGCCCAGCTGGTCTGCTGGCCAAGGGAGGATGTGAGCCTAGCAGAGCGCCCAGTCAAATCGAGGTCAAGCAGGGCCACCCAGGCCATCTGCAAGCTCCCAGCCAGAAGCAAGTGTTCACAGCTGTGTGCCCCTCAGGGGTGTGGTTTACTCTGCAGCATGACTGTGGCATTAAGCTACCAATACACCCTCCTTCTACTGGCCTCACTCTTCCTGCCCCTTAACACGTGTTGTTGTCAAATCCTTGGGCTTTGATCTTTCTGACAGTGATTTTTTATAAATATGGGGGGGAGTTTATTTCTAACTGAAAGATTTTGCTGTTTCTCAGAAAAAAATATATCCTTTTTCAAAAGGTCTCAGGTGAACCCTTGAACTCGGTCTTCCCTGGTTTTAGCATGTTTCCAGGCAGTGTCACACACACAGGAGTGTCTCTTCTGCAGGTACGGTCTCACTCTAGATTGTGTCTCAACATGTAGACTTCCCATCCATGCCAGGTACTAAATTGAGGCACACAGTTTTGCATGATAAGAATTCACCGGGCAGTGGAAACAACCTATCTGTTGACTAATGAATGGGTAAAGAAAATATGACATATTTTCATATCTACAGAATGGAATATTATTCTGCTTTAAAAAAGGAAATTATGACATTTCCAACAACATGGATGAACTTGGAAGACATTGTACTAAATGAGATAAGCCAGATACAGAGAGACAAATATTGCACAATCTCACTCATATGTGGGATCTGAAAAAGTCAAATTCCTAACAGCACAGAGTAGAGCAGTGGTTGCTGGGGGCTGTAGATGGAGGAAATAGAGATTGATTGGTCAAAGGACAATGTTTCTGTTATGCAGGATCATTGAACTCTGGAGATCTTACATACATCATGGTGACAATAATTAATAGATTCTAAGTGTTCTTACCACACACACACACACACACACACACACACAGTAGAAATTCTGTGAGGTAGTAGATTTATTAGCTTGATTAGTAATTTCACAATGTACATGTATACCAAAACATCACATTG